AGTATGTTCTTTAGGATATTAAAACATTAAAATATATAAAACATCGTCTCTGAAAAAAGTGTTAGTGACACGAATCTTTGAATTTAAGCGGGCTGCTCGTGCAGGTTAGGTGTGTTTCAGCGTAACGGAATAACTTTTGAAAAAAACAAACATACAACAAATGGTAAACTATGCGTTAGCTGGTAAATGAAACTAATTTACTCACCAGCATAGGCAAGATGAGCTCCAAGGAGCAAAAGCAGTACATGCCGCATTATTTCTTTTGCCTGAGAAATAATTCCTTTCAGAAAAACGCTTAAAATAAGTGTACCAGACACCTCGGCTGTCGCGTGCGAACTGGTAACGTAACGTGAAATGTTTCAGCACTGACGCCTGATAAATAGCTCTGAAATTCTAGCCAATCGTTTTTCTTGACTAGTCTGACGTCACGTGTTACTATGCGGTATTTCCTTCACTGGGTTGATTATAGACTTGATCGCTGAAAAAGTAATTAAATGAATATGGAATCATGCGAGACATATGGCTGTGTTAGAATTGAATATTTTCGCATTGGTTATTTGCTTTCAGCTTAAGTTAATGGAATGCACTGAAATGCTAAAAAAAATCAAAAAATCAGCTTTATGTGATTTACTGTATGGCTATATTAATAATATAAATCTTACACTGTAGTTGTTGACAAATGTTTGTCATTCCTGAGGATGCCACTGAGGAAGTTTACTGTAAAATAAAGAAAATTAATAATCTCACCTTTCGAAATCTCAAAAATTTGAAAAATAAATTTTTTGAAAAATGATATTTTATTCACATGTTATGCCATGTTCCTCTGTGTTGGACATCGGGACTTTAAAAAGTCCTGTTTAAAAAAAAAAAGACTTGAATAGACATGAAAAGGCAAAAAGAGTGAGAAATCAATTTTTATTTTTTTAAACCAAACTTTATATAAAGATGATTCTCAACTATGTTATGAAAGATATTTTAAAAAAACATTTTTCTTTATGCAAAATGTGTGTAAAATGGCCATAAACGAGTTTTTCCATTATATACAATGTATCTATAAACTGTATCTAATTTGCGTATTCATGTATTTTTGGGGCAACAGGATGAACAAATAAGTGCAATAATGGGAGTAATAACTACCAAGATTTTCATAATGATATCTAATATTTAATAGGAATATTGATATATATCATTTTTTCTCTATTCATTTGTTGTGTCTCACATTAAGGGAGAGCGGTGATGGTTGTAATAGGCCTGGGACGAGTTGTAACCATCAGTTTATCCTCTAAGAAATGAAGTACAGGGATGAAATCACTATCATACATGATCACCATCCTCTTGAAGTGACGACAAAAGCTGTAAGTCTCTGTACAGAAACATAAGGGATTTATAGGACAAAATACAAATTACATTTCACTTCTGGATTATAATTTAATTTGCAATAAATGACAAGACTGGTGTCATGTAAGATTCTCATGCTTAAACTGATATATACTGTATATTTACTCAAAATCTCAAACACAACCTTAAGGCTGATCAGACGAGGAGGGTTGTGACGAGACCTTTCCCATTTACTGCTTGACACACAAAGTCTGAACAAATCGAGATGTGTACGTGACATAATCGTGAAAAGGACTAGCATGCACACGCTGTGTTATGTTTTTGTTTGTTTGTTTAACAAATTATCATCCCATGTTTCAGCTAGTTGTTAAATCATTTTTACCAACTGTTTTGCTGCTTTAGAATGACGTTTTTTCCATTTAGAATGAAGTTTCTTTCTTTTTATGTACATTTTAAACTGATGTCCATATTTAATAACAGCATAACCAAAGCAACTGTTATTATTTTTTATTATATTATGATATTTATGTCCACAGACCAATATGATATTATTATTATTATTATTTTTGTTGTTGTTAAATTATACACACAGACTTTTTACTAACTTATATATATTTATTGAGAAGCAGGCCATAGCAGATCTGTGCATTAACCTGAAAAATGCATGTTGTGGATGAAGATGACCCCATCAGTAGGCCTGTCGCAATAATCAATATATCGACTTATCGTGCAA